TGATGAGGATAATGATTTATTGGGCAAGCTTGAAGAAATGAGTTTTCAGATGTTTTTTGAAGGACCGGATGTTGTCGTTCGCACGAAGATTCGGGGGCAGCTTATTCCAGAGCGTAGGGCCAGCAACATTAAAAGCCCTACCGCCCACCGTGGAGAGTCTGACCCGGGGTACCACGAGAAGGTTTTCCGTGCTAGATCTGAGGGCCCGAGTTGGAACGTATGGCTGTACCAAGTCAACAAGGTATTTGGGTGCCGGGCCATGTAGGGCTTTAAATATTAGGATTAACAGTTTAAATTGGATGCGGTGTATGACAGGAAGCCAGTGCAGTTGGTGAAGGATAGGAGTGATGTGAGCAGATTTTTTTTTATATGTGAGGGTGCGTGCAGCCGAGTTTTGAACCATTTGGAGACGGTGTATTGCTTTGGTGGGTAGTCCGCTATATAATGAATTACAGAAGTCCAATCTGGAAGTGATAAAAGCATGAATAACAGTTTCCCCATCTGTAAATAACAGTTTCCGCATCAAAAGAGAATATTAAAGTTTATACTCCTAACTCACTTTACGTCAGAGTTAAGTGTTTGAAATAACTTCCTTCTGACGTGACTTCATATCACAGAATGATATTATTTTATAATATTGAATACAGTGAAAAAGGCTACGTCGATTAGCACTGCATAATATACTTTATTCTTATGAAAATATTTTAGATGTCTAGAAGATTATATATTGTCGTAATGGTGTGTTTATTGTCTTCATGTTTCATCAGTCCAAATGTCTCTATCTGAATTTTAGTCTGCTGCAGCGGTATCTGGATGCCTTTGTCCATATAAGGGATTTCCTGGATCGTCATAAGTTTTAATGGTTGTCTATTTACACTAAGTGCAAATAGCCCACCTTGTTGGCAGAGGCTATTTACACCAACTTCCCCCACTGACTTCTGGTTGGGCCAGACAAAATTACGGAAGACAGTAGTAATAGTGTAGGGGTAAGGCGCATGGAGGTTTTGATGCAAATCGACCCGAGTTCAAATCCGCCTTTTGCCGAACTCGCTCTACTCCCTTTTCCCTTCACATATCAGATCGGAAAGCCATTTATTTTCAATAATAATGAATAAAATATTCGGTTTAACGCGTGTTTAATAATAAAAGTGTTTATTAGTTATGAATGAAACAGACATTACATCACATGTGTGTACTCACTTTACATTTTTATCACAATACTTTAATATTTTAAAATAAAACTTTAAACCTTTCAAAGTTTGTAATTAGAAGATTTCAATATGAACTCAAATATTTCTCAAAATCTCCCAATACCAAATTACCTTAGATACGCTATTCACATTGTTTTTATGGCTCTATATTTTACTAACGATTGACTCATTTGTCTATTTTTAGTCCTCCAAAGCAATTGTAGGAGAAACGTTGGAGACAGAAACTTTATACATGAATGAACTATATCTCAAGACCTCATTAACGTTTCCTTTGAACAGTTTTCCTCTGAGATGACAACATATTTTAGCTTTTGCCTCTATTAACATATTTTAAAAAAAAAAACTAAAAAAAAACTGATTGAGTTTTCCTTGTAGTAAAAATGCAGTGTGGGAGGAAAAGAAAAAAAGCAGAATATGAAAAGGCAGAACAGATAAAGGAGAGAGAGGGAAAAAAAGAACCAGAAATAGAATATGAGGGAAGCAGAGGATAAATTATTTACTCATGCGTATCCTTGTGTTACACCACTGACCTGAGACTACCACTTGACTCAACCAATCAAACGACAGAATCAGCCTCTTTCACTTAAGAACAGCTAATCAAACCATCAGCTAGCCTATATGCTTTTAATATATTCCATGATATCACTGTTTGCACATTAACATTAACAATAAGCTACACTAAAAATCATTCTTGTTTTTAACCCTAAAACAGGCAACGTGTCTCACGAGATACATCGTTTTTATTGTCTTTTTTTTGGGGCATAAGAACGATTTTTTCATCAAATTATTTTATCACTTATGACAGCCTGGTCTGTCTTGAGTATGCTGGTCACATGATTTGCTTCAAATTTTTTTGTGATCAATTAGTCAGCCTGACCTAAATCCAGCATGGCTGCCAGTGGTGCAGAACATTCAGATTTTGTAAATATATATTAAACTTACTTTTTCTTCTGAAGAAAAAGAAGGAGAAGGAGAAAATTAAGTAATATGTTGTTCATGTTGTTATTTAGCACGTTTTGAAATTTATCTGTCTCCTGAGACACGTTGCCTGTTTAGGGTATAAAAAAGGGATTAAACTACCTCTATTTAAAATGCACTATTCAAACTTAAATGATTGTAATTCAAGAATGCTTTGGAATATAGAACTAATTTTGGTCTTGTTTTAAAGAAAACAGTCAGCAGATTAATGCTGAAGTGAAACCACTTAAAAAAATGTACTTAAAAGTATGAAAAAGTTAAGGAAGTTTCAAACTTACATTAAATCAAATATACTGTACTTAATATTGATTCTTTTTTATAAAATATGTATTTTACAAAATATTTTTTACTATAAAAATACAATAAAATCAAAGCCATTATCTAACCAAGTTGTGCTCCAAATTTGAAGTTGATATCACAAAAATTGAAGTTCCCATGAGATTTTGTTTAGGCATAATACCAAAAATAGCCACCGGGTGACTTACATTCCATTGAATTTAATTGTATGGATTCTGCCATAACAAATTAATAAATTTCAGTCCAAATATCACCTCTGTCACAAAATATGGAACCTTGAGACTCAGACCTTTCTGACAATATGTGTTTTGTCAAGATTAGAAAAGGTTTTGATCATAAATTATGAAACACGACGATGCCCAAAAGGGGAGGAGCCCATTAAAATAATTTAGAGTACCGTTTCTATAGTAACACAACGTCCAATTTCAAAACAAGTTTCACAGGCTGAATCTTGAGTTTGTAAGCTTTCGAATGATATATAATTTATTTGTCAACATTAGATCAGGTGAAGTATGGAATATAATTGTTTTAAACATGCAGTGGCAGTAACAGTTAACAGATTAATGACTTATAAAATCCAACAAAATATATCAAATTAAAAAATATATATATTTTGGATGTGTTTTATTTAAGTCCAGATGATATAAAAAATGAAATGAAATTATTTTTTGCTTAGTATTTTCCACTCTTGCCTGTTTAAGGGTTAAAATCTGAAAAAAACAAACAAAAAAAAATTCAAAAGAGAACCGTTACAAACTCCTCCTTGTCCGTCATGCAGGGGATTGTGGGTAATTAAAGCTGAAAAAGCATGCATGAACACATGCTTCGAATACAATTGATGTATACTATTTTCAATATATTATTATTTGGGATGCACTGATTCTCATCTTGCAAACTACTAAGATGTGAGATTAGACATGTAAGCAAGAGACGCAGCCTCTTATTGTCAGGAAGCAACTCGGAAAATGACAGGAAATAAGTTTGGAAATGCAACAACATAAATCAACATTATCAACCAGGCATTCACAGAGTGAATCCAATGGTCTACACAAAATGTGCCCTTTTATACACGCACATACAGTACAAACACAAAGAAAGGCTGATAAATGGAGAAGCTGGAGGAGGAAGTTAACAACAATATGAAATAACTAACTTAGAGATATCACATCATACTTCCTTAATAAAAGCTTTTGAGGTAAACATGTATGTAACCATGAGCTATAATGGGCACAGCTACCAGAGGACTTGCCTGGATTGCTCAATTCAGGGTTAGATTGATCAACAAACTTCCCCATCATTTTGAAATTGAAGACTAAACCATGCAAAACAGGCTTTTGTCTCGATAATTCAAGGTCAAGGGTGGAGGCTTCTTTGTGAAGCAATTGCACACACAAATAAACGTGCACAGATAGAAACATGGACTTCATGTCTTACAGGGATTCACACAAAACATAGCATTCTGTCATCATGTACATCGTGTCGTTCCAAACCTATTTGATCGTTCTGTCTTCCATAGGACACAAAAGAAGAAATTTTGAATAATGTTCACAATGTTCTTTTGAAAGCTATGGCGGGGAAGATTTTCAACGAACGATGACCTAAATTTAGATCTGTTCCTGTTGGCTGATATCTTTAAGAGCAGAGTGGCTGATAGCCGCCATATTGTATTACATACAATACACAATGCATATAGTATAACGGGCATTTTTCAAGGTTTGTGGAATATAATTGTGCGAATATAAGAAAGTATTATAGCATTTGCCTTTCTATAACTAATAATAGAAATGCAAACGGTATGATACTTTTCATATACCATTTACATTCTTTGTTTAACATTTCTACCTAATAAAAAAAATAACTTCTTCCCACTTCATACATTAATCAGCCAAACAGAAAAACGTATGTCGAATATCAGCTGATATATCAGCCTTAGTGATGTATCGGACAAACGCTAGTTTTTAATTTTTGTAAATTATGACAGAACAAAGCAGCTTTTATCAAAAACAACACTTAACTTTGTCCTTGCCTGCCTCATCACCTACACAGACATATAAAACAGCACACAACCTCTTCACATACACATAAGTTATGATATTTCTAGTGCAAAATCACTAAAATAACTGCAGCAGCGACAAGCTATAAACCAAACCAAGCTTTTCAAAACCACAAGAGACACAGTTACCCCAAACACACACACACACACTGTCTGGTTGACTATCTTTATGGGGACTCCCCGTAGACGTAATGGTTTTTATACTAAACTGTATATTCTATCCCCTTACTCTAAGCCTATGCCTAAAACTACCCATCACGGAAAACTGTCTGCATTTTTACATTTTCAAAAAAACGTATTCTGTATGATTTATAAGCTTGTTTCCTCATGGGGACCCTCAATTTAGGTCCTCACGGTGACACAAGTCCCCATGAGTCGGTGTGCATTCCGGTTGAAGTCCCCACCGGGAAAAACAAGCGCGCGCACACATACACACACACAGCTCAGTTTCGCATACACACCTGCAAACCGACCACTGGCGCGGCGGCGGGACGGCGACACCAGCTCCTTAACAATCTGCAACACTTGCATGATCAGAAGAGGGCGGGGTCAAGGCACGGACAGGTGTGGTTGGGGGCGGGGCCAGTGCAGGGTAAAGCACAACGAGCTTCATTCTCGCACCCACATACAAAAATAGCAAAATAGCAATCAAAAGATGATTGGTTTCTCTAAATAAAACGCAGGATTTCTATTTCTACAGAGTGTAGCGAATTCTTCCATTCATTTTATCATTGATCGTCTCCTCCCCTCAGTCTCGTCTTTGTATTCATTTCAAGTTCCTTGAATCCAAAGGCAGCTTTGGTCCGTAAGACCAATTAAAACACATCACTAATTCATAACACATCAATTAATCACATAGTTAAGCATCCAAAACACAGTTTCTGTCTTCTTCTGTACTTCATAAACCACATCAAATCCGTTCAGAAGCAGTATTTGGGGTTAAAAACAGCAATGCATCCTGCAGAATTAGCTTTCCGCACTCCAGGTCCCACCAGTCAAAACATGAGGGTCCGTGTCTGTCTTCTTCTTCATCGCTCACATCATTTCTCGCTGCTTGCCTCTGTCTCTCAAAAACACTCTTCTTCCAATCAGAGTTGGCTTCTGCAGTTCTTCTCTTGTTTTTTCCTCACTCTTTCGCAGATAGACACTGTCCAGTTCTCTCTCCTGTTCCCGCCGTATGTTTGTGAATCAGGTGAGAGAGACCATCTGAAAAAGTGTCTCCACTTCTCTCTCTCTCTATCGCAGTCTCTGGCATCCAAATCAATACAGCCAGGGCAAGCTATATAACACAGCTCTACTCTATTCTCCTCTCTCTCTCGTTTATTCTTCACAGCCCAGCTCGCCACTGACACACACGTTCCAGCTTTAAATTAGAGAGTATCTGTTACAACAGCCCCTCCCCTCAACTCTCTCTCCCTCTTTCTCTCCTCTATTCCTCCTGTTTCAGGATTAAATGTGAATATGTAAATGCTGGTCTTATATCATATCCAGATATCCAGAATATCATACACTTGGGATTGTAAAGGTGGAACCCAAGGGCGAAATTGTCAATCACACATTGGGGGGGACAGCTGTGGAACTTTTTGTGTTGGCGCATGCACACATTTTTTTAATCAAAATAAAATAAAAGTCAGAGTCCGAATGTTTGTAATTGTATAACACAACAAGGAATTGTATTACATCTGATCGTCAAACCAACGTATAGCCTAGTCACAATGATTACAGCATCGGCATCAATTACAGGCCTGAATTGACAACAAAGCGGTCAGTGATCTCTCTCTCTTATATTCTTCTATAAACATATAGTGGCTATAAACATTTTGATTAAATTACTGTTACAGGATATTTACCATTCATAGATAGCCTATGTGCCAAATGTCTGTCAATTTCCGCGCTCCTCCTAACTCTTCTTCTGTTTGGTTTTTCCTAACTCACTGACGATGCACAAGCTACTAAAGGGATAGGAAAACATGACATGGATTTCAGGAGAAATAGGTTTTGCTAAATGTATAGTGTAAGACAAGTCGAATGGATTTGGGAAATGGACCGGCCGGGATTTTATATTTTCGGAGCTGGGAAGAAAGACGTAGGCTATTTGCAATCACATCGATATGGCCCTGCCCGCATAATCATACAAGCCGCGTTTCCATTAGGCTACCCTTCAAATTGCGCAAATTGAAATTGCGTAATAAAAATGCGGAAACACGTCCATTTCGCAAAAACTCCCGTTTATCCCAATAAAGTTTTTACGCTCGCATGAGGAGGTTTTTCAGGCAATTTGAAAAAGGAATATTTCGCAAAACTGCAATGGAAACGGGTTTTGCGCATTTACAGTCACCTGACTTAGAATACGCGGTGTGTTTTGGGTCCTTGTCCGCAAATAATAATAATAATTATTATCATTATTATAACATTTATTATATGTAGTAGACGCTTTTATCCAAAAAAGGAACAAAGCAATTCGTCACATTTCATTCATAATACAGGTTGGACAATAATAGGGCTAAGATTATCACAAATAAACACAAGATTTTGACGCATATCCAAGTGTGTGTGCGGACTGGGTGTGGAGCGCGCACTGGATGGCACGGAGGCGCGGCCGCGAACACTTGCATTTTCCTATCAACAGTCGAAACAACTTAAAATACTCTATCATTTCTGGTCATACAGAATATAATAATACATTATTCGCAACTACTTTTATTTGCGTAATCTCACAATAACAAGAAAACGATGTGCTTTTGTAAAATAAAATAAAACAATCAGGCGTGCTTCATGGTCTCCGTGAACTGAAGCGCGAGAACTGATAGGCTATAGCCTTTGTAGACTGAAGCTTTAAATGTCCACTTTAAAAGGAACAAATTCGAATCGAAAGCTAATACCTTCTGATTATGTAATCCGTATGAAAGGTGCATTTCTCTCTAAAGGTGCATCCGGAGATGGAGATATGTTTTTAGCCGACACTGATTTAGGAAAACAATAGTTTATTAATAAACAATTAAAATGCCTCGTTATTTTTTCAGACACATTTATTAGCCTAACTCATCTAGCCTATACATCCCCTTTCTGTAGGCTGTGGTTATGGCTCCTCTCATTGAGCACTGCGGGAAAAATATAATTTCCAGGTTCTAATTTGGCCTTAGAAAACCAGTAAAATCTAAAAAAAATTCTCCATATTAATTTGTGAATATTTTAAATGTTTAATAAAGGGGCAAAAAGTCATAAACAAATATCTGAAAATTCGTCTCTCTCTCTCATATATATATATATATATATATAATTTTTTTTTTTTTTTTTTGTGCAGCATTTGGTGTAGGCCTAGGTCAAACTAAAATGTTGGTGTTCACCTTTGCGTTTTAAAAATACAACAACCGTTCATTTTTCGTTTTGCAATTACGGGTTAAATAAGAAAAATGAATGCAAGTAGCTACACCGACGGTTTGGACATAATACGAGACAGAGTTCTTTATTGAATTCATAAAAGAAACAATAATTACAGGAATAGTCTGGACTCTAAACCCACTGATCTATATAATGACATTAATAAAGTAATTCTATATTGATCAGTGTCTAAACCTCAAAGAAATGCCACAATCAAGACATCGGAGCAGAAATGAGGGAGAAACACCCATGGAACTCCGTGTCTTTCCCTGCCATTAACGCTTGGATAACACGCCACTTCTCCTTCCATTAATAATAATAATGTCTATGCGGGGGCTGTGATATAGGCTATAAACCTACCAACGTCCGTTGCCATGATTTTTGGAATGACTTATCGCGAGAGGAAAAAAAAGACGTTTTAGTCGCATAACATCGGTTAATGGAACGCCGTCATTTCGCAATAGTTTTTTATCGACATTTAGAAAATATGGCAAAAGTTTTGCGCAAATCTGTAATGGAAACGCGCCCCAAATATGATCAAATATTGGGGGGGACAAATTGCCCTTCGTTGAATATTGGGGGGGACGTGTCCCCCTGTCCCCCCATAGAATTACGCCTATGGTGGAACCCTTCAAGGACAGATGATAGATATTGGAATAATAAGAAAACGATTCTGATGCCTCACTCCAATTTTGAAGAAACAATGAGAGAGAAGCCAGTTGTCTCTATTTGTAGAGGAATGGAGACATTTCAGAAACATTAATAGAACTAAAGACTTCATGAAAATCTTTCGACAGATAGAAAGACAGACATTAGACAAACAGATAGATAGATAGATAGATAGATAGATAGATAGATAGATAGATAGATAGATAGATAGATAGATAGATGACAGAAAACAAGACATACAGGCTGACTGATACATACATAGACAACCAGACAGACAGACAAACAAACAGATGTGGGACCCTATTTTAACGATCTGAAACGCAAGCATCAAACGCGAAACGCAAGTAACTTTGTGGGCGGCTCTCACGCAAATCTAAAATGGGTTGGTCTGAAGTAGCTACAGTACTCATAGGCGTGGTTTGGGCATAACGTGAAATAAACCAATCAGAGCTTCATCTCACATTCCCTTTAAAAGCAGACGCCCTTGTTCCATGGCGGATTGCTATTATAATGGCGGATTTGCCAGGCGCACGCCAGGAGCGGTTCACGTCCGAGGAGACCGACCTTCTCGTCAGGGCCGTAAAAGACAGAGAGGTGACATTGTATGGGGATGGGAGAAACCCACCCAAATTAGCTTCAGTTAAACAGGCATATAATAATTTGGGTAAATGTGTAAGCTGGATTTATGCCGATTTTTTCACATCTTCATGGACACCACAATGATTTCCCTCGTGTGGTAATATTTTTCCTTGTAATATGTACGGTTTGCAAAAATGGGAACACAATCTGAGAAGGCCCAAGAGAGACTTATAAAAATTGTTATATGATAAAAAAATGAATAAAAATGATTTCTTATTTGGATATCATTATTAGATTGAAATTTGAAGTGCTCAATTATTGCGATCACATAATTGCAACAGGCTTAATTGTGATCATAAATGTGGCAATTCATCCCTCTTTTTATTAGTTCTCACAAGAGTCATTCCTGTACTGCACACAACAACCCACAGTAAGTGAAATAAAACAGACATTTGAGAGAGATTTGAAGTCAGGTAAAATGCTGGCGGTGTATTTTTTTTGCTGTTGGGTTTTTTGTTGTTTTTTTCACACACAACACATGCTCTCACAGCAAACCTGCAAAACACTAATCATATGCCAAACCCCAGAGTTAAATCACACATACCCAACCCCATGCATGTATAAAAATGATTACACACACACACCGCTCCAAGCATGCTATTCATCTACCTTTACCTTTCTCAGTGCCTGATCTTGCTCAAGGACAGTGTTATCATGGCTGGCTGCAGCAGTGTGTATGTGTCTTGTGCGGACATCTAGCAGTACATGTAACCTCCGCTGTAATCAATCTCTACATAATGGCCTCATTTGGATCTAATTACCAACCACCTTTCCTGAAATGTGCTGAAAGCATCAAAAACTCAAAACAGCCTGACAACATTACATCACTGTTACATCACCACTGCTCACCCCAAAAAGACACTAGTGAACCATTTTTAAACCATGAGAACCATGTGACTATTTAACCACAGCTATCATGGGACTGTAGCTGAAATACTGCACAAACCTGTGCTAACCAAACTGCAGTGCAACTTCAGCATTACTGCAATCAGTAAAT